CATGACAAACTGTCAGGAGCTATATAGAAAGATCATTAAGTCTCACAATGTCATTTGGGGAATTTTTGTTGAGGGATTTAAATATTAAACTTGCTTTTATATGAATATATATAATATGTATATCTATTATATGTTTATGGATAGTTTTGTCTCTTCCAGTAACTAGAAAAGTTTTCACTGTCTTAGAAGATATTTCAACTGCATTTTTATGAATCTGACCTAAATACAATGTTACTTACTTTCTGAATTTTTTGTCACTTAATTATGAATATTTGATTTTAGTTACTTTGTACCATTACAACTAAGAAATACTAATTTTTAAAGTCTTGGCTGGGTGCAGTGGCTCATGCCTGTAATCCCAGCACTTTGGGAGGCTGATGCGGGTGGATCACCTGAGATCAGGAGTTCGAGACCACCCTGGCCAAAATGCTGAAACCCTGTCTTTCCTGAAAATACAAAAATTATCCAAGCATAGTGGCAGACACCTGTAATCCTAGCTGTTCGGGAGGCTGAGGCAGGAGAATTGCTTGCACCCAGGAGGCGCAGGTTGTGGTGACCTGAGATCGCATCATTGCACTCCAGCCTGGGCTCCAAGAACGAAACTCTGTCTCAAAAATAAAATAAAAGTCTTGTAAATACAGTCTAATATTTCACCATTTGCAGAACTGAAGTGGTAATTATTTGTTATTCACATTTCTCTCAAAGAAAAACATTCAAGAATCAACCGTACAGCTGATAACACTGCATGAAATGTTAGAGGTAAGTGTCTTGTGTAGTTTGTTTTTTCTTGAAGCTGTCTCTTAGTCATTTGTGAACAATTAGACTTAAGAAACAAAAAATACTGCTTTAGTTCTTAAGTATTCATCAATCTTTATTAAATGTATTTATTATAATGTATCTTCGTATAAAATTAGTTTCTGTCCATTGTATAATAATACTGAGAGGAATATTGTTATTTTTTCAAAATAATCAGAATTTAAAGTCTGTCTCTTAATCATATTCTCAAGATTTATTACAGGTAAAATGTTTGTCCAGGTATGAGATGACAGGGTGAAAAATGTTTTTTTAATGATGTTATCTAATATTTACATAGTGAAATCCTATGCTGTTACATCGACTCTTTAATTGGTTGCTCTGTGCTCTATATAAAATACGTAATAAACATAAAGATTCCATCCACAAAATTGTAGAAATTTTGCAGTTTTTCTTAAATAACATCAATCTCTTTTCTCATAATGTAAGTACTGAGTTTTCCAACTTTCTCTGATTTGACATGTACCTTGTTTTATAAATATCTTTGACCTTTTCAAAAATGTTTTTGAACCTCAATCATATATTAACAATTATATTAAATACTTTGGAAGATCTTGATATGACAATTCATGACAAATTGGGCAGAGAGGAAAATGAAATGGCATATGAAGAACAGGATATTTACCAATTAGTGTACCCCCTTTTAAGGTCATTGGTAAATTTTGAAGAAAGAGCGATTTCAGAAAATGTGTTTCATTTAACTTAAGGAACTACATGCTAAAATCTCTTTTTGGCCAGCTGACTAGTTTTGGTTCCTCAGGATTTAATACAGAATATTATTGCTTTGAAAAGAAAATGCAAATATTTATTAGATTCATAATTAGAATCTTTTAACATATTTCTAGCTAGTCTAGTTTATACTGAAACTAAGATGACTATTGTTTCTCATGGATTACTTAACCTTTTTTTTTTTTAATAAAAATTGTCAGTCATGGAAATACTGAAAGGTATAACGTGTAATTTTTGAGTAGGGTAACTAGTATGTACCACATGCGATAGGCTATTCTTATGTTGCTGTAAAGAAATACCTGAGACTGTATAATTTGTAAAGAAAAGAACCTTAACTGGCTCATGGTTTGCAGGCCGTACAAACATGACACTGGATCTGCTCAGCTTCTAGGGAGGTCTCAGGGAGCTTTTACTCATGGCAGAAGGTGAAGCAGGAGCAACCAGTTCACATGGCCAGAGTGGGAGCAAGAGGGAGGGGGAAAGGTACCACACACTCTTTTAAACAACCAGATCTTGTGAGAACTCATCATAAGGACAGCACCAAGGAGATATGCCAAAGCATTCATGAAAAATTCATCCTTATGATCCAGTTACCTCCCACCAGGCCCCACCTCCAACATTGGGAATTACATTTCAATATGAGATTTGGCAGGGGACACACCTAAACTATATTAGCATATAAAACTTGGCATTAGAATCCTAAGTTTGTCTTCGAGGCTCATATTGTCAGCAATAAAGGAACTAATATTAAAACTGCAGTTAGGTTAAAAATAAAACAATATAATTAAAATTAGAAAAGGAAAATAGGAAAGATCTGTACTAAAATAAGTACTAAAATAATCCATTGTTTTAAAATACAAATAATATTTAATTCTTTATCATGATACTCAAATGAGGCCAAAGCTGTTTTTCCCACCGGATGTGGGACTTGAAATAATTAATTATAGTTGAAAATTTTATTTCAAGAAATGACATACTGATACAAAATACAATTAGAGCTTGATGGATTAATTTTATTTCTATGGCACTTTATAATTGTATAAATTATGTATTTTCTTTTCCATGTTTTTTAAAATAATAGCATCTTTCAGTTAAAAATTTGGTCTGACAATTCAGAGATACAGAGTCTAATCCAATATCCACCACTGCTTATGGACCCCTGAGGAATCTCTTAACTTTTCTGGGTTCTAGTTTTGTAATTTGTGAAGACACTGTAAGATAACAAAGGAGGCAAAATAATAAATGATCTACATTTAGCATTTTTCACTGTTTCATAACATTAGTATTCAAACCATTGTAAATATTTGTTTCTTGAAAAAATTTTTATAATGGCATTGTATTTGGGAAAAACAGCTGATTCTTGATTTACATTAGCAAGCTTTCCCAGTCTTGTTGGATCACAGAACCCTGTTTTTCAGGAACTAAGAACATCTTTAGGGAGTCTAATTCTGTGGAATGCAGTCTGGAAGATGCTAGCCTATAGAATTTAATGCAGATACTCAAAACACTTCTCAATTTGTGGTTGTAATTCCACTATATCCTTAATGAAGAAATCAGGGATACTCAGGATGAAGTTGAAGGAAGTGATGATAAAATTGACTCTTTTGAAGATTTGTCAGAAGAATAGATATTTTGTGGAGGATAGGACTAGTGATTTTTCCTTCAAGTAAAAAGACACATTTGCTTCCTTTCTTTTTAACTTTTTGTGTATTTTGTTAAATATTAATTTTTTTAAGATTTTTGTCTTTATCCTAAAGAAATTGCTAATCCCAAAAGAAGTGGGAGAATTGTAAGTTCTTTCTAACCAATTTTTAGGAAATGTTTTTAAATTTTAAGCTGCAAAAGTTCACTTTCAAGCTTTTTTCATTTTCTAATATTTATAGTTCTTTAAAAAAGAAAATTTAAATTTGTAGATTAAAAGTACTATATAAACAGTTGTTTAAAGAGAAAAGAGGTCAGTATTCTTTGACAAAAAACTTATTACAGCTAAATTGACTTTTTGCCAAGTAAAGTGTACTTTGAATGATATTTTCTCCTAGATTCTTATAAATAGATTATTTGATGTTCCACATGATCCATATGTCAAAATTATTGATTCCTTTTGGCCACCTTACGTTGAGCTGCTTCTGCGTAATGGAATTGCCTTGAGACATCCAGAAGATCCAACCCGAATAAGATTAGAAGCTTTCCATCAGTAAAAGGATGTTTTCTTTTTTCACACAGTAAAAAATCTTAACATTCAAATGTATTGGAACCACAGGACTATTTGGATAAAAAACATTATTTGCAAATTAATTCACATAGTCCATCTTCGTTTTATTGTTAAATGACATATGCTGGCCTCTGTTATTCACTTTTACATTGTCCTTCCTTATTCAATCAGTCCTTTGGTGTTTTAAATTATATGGATAAGAATGCAGGTAGATATTGTTCTAGACATAAAACATTTAATATACCTTATGCAATATTTTTTAGAAAATTATTTGTTAATTTATAATATTGCCAATATTTTCTTAAGAAGTATAACAATACCTTTTATGCATTTTAAGTTCCAACTGGTGCTTCTTTATATTTAGAAATTATAATGGGGAGGTCATTTAATTTGCAGATGGTTTTAAAATTGAGGTAATATCTGATGTAGAATGTGGCATAGTTTAAAAATACATAGCAAATTTGTTTCATATGTACTGCCTTATTTCTAGATTTGTTTAAAATTGAAATATGAAAAACTAATGGAAAAAGCCAACATAAAATTGATATTTCAGTTTGTATTATTAATATACCATGTGACCTTAATATTAGTCTACTCTCATCCTGCTAATTATTACCAACAAAATTGTATTCATTACATTTTATTAATCCTCTGTGAATTTTGTGTAAATAAAATTATTTCTAAAAATCTCTAGCTATTGGTGATGTGGCTTATTTTTATAATTAGAAAATATTTTTTAAAGGTAGATAAATTAAGATATAGGACTCATTTAGTATTACATAAAAGCTAAACTAGAGCATCCTAAATCCATTTAGTATCATTAGTTTTCTAAGAGAAATTTCTGTTTACTTTTTTACTTGAAAGTGCTTTCTGCTGTATATTATCCAGGTTTCTTGCTTATCTGAATTACTTCTTTTCTAAAGTAAATAATATTCCAAGTATACCAAATCCCTCTGTAGAATATGCAAGTACTATATATTTTAGGGAATGTAACTCTTCTAGGGGAAGATGATACATAAAGTACCTCCTAGAATAATTCAGTTGAATATTGAAGGAGGGAGCAACTTTTACTCTTTGAAGTTGCTGGAGAGGGAAGAAATGGCAGTGTAGGTCTGACAAGAGTTCTTCAGCGAAGATGGCACTGTTGTTCATGAAGCCCTAGCAAAACACTTTTGGTGTTTGCTAATGAAAACATTAAAAATATGTAATTGGCCGGGCGTGGTGGCTCACGCCTGTAATCCCAGCACTTTGGGACGCCGAGGTGGGTGCCGAGGTCAGGAGTTCAGGATCACCCGGGCCAACATGGTGAAACCTCATCTCTACTAAAAATACAAAAAATTAGCTGAGTGTGGTTGTGCATGCCTGTAATCCCAGCTACTTGGAGGCTGAGGCAGGAGAATCACTTGAACCTGGGAGGCAGAGGTTGCAGCCAGCTGAGATCTCGCCACTGCACATCAGCATGGGTGACGAGCAAAACTCTGTCTCAAAGGAAAAAAAAATGTAATCCTTATGCTTGCAATGCCTATCAATAGATGTACTTTTTAAAAAGTTTTTATGGGTGTATCAATATGCTATCAGTTGCTAAATGTAGTGTACCAAATGCTTTATTGCATTTTATGACATGTTGATTCAAAAATTAATGGAAAGTTGGATGCTAATAGCTTACTTTTAATATTCTTAATACTTTCCCTAGTTTATTGTTTATCCTCCAACTTTGTTTTGATGGACTCTTGGTTTTTTTAGCATGTAGAGATGAAAAATTTTTAATTTAGTTTTGATTATACAAAAAATTAATGCAGATAATAGAGATAAAACTGAAATTCCCTTTGATATTTCCTATCTAGGTCCTCTCTGCCTGGGATAAGCACTGTTTGATACATGCTATTATTTTTCATGTTAATTATCATTCTCTTCTGCCATTTGACTGTGTCCAGAAGTTCATTCATTTTAATGAATCTTGTTTCGCAGTAATCAGAGAGCCAATTCACATGATGGTGAATTGTTATGTATCTGCTTAATCCTGGTAAGAGAGCAGAGACAATGGAATTGTACAAGATGCTGGATTAAATTTAGAGAAGGCGGAAAAGTGGAAGACAAAAAGAACAAAAGAAAAGCAATTAATAGAAAACATTAACAAATATAGTAATTTATATCAATTAGTTTAAATATGAGTTGCCTGAATACACAGATACTGTCACAGTGGATTAAAAGGCAAGACTAACAAGAAAACCACTTTAAAGATGGAGAAAGATTAAAACTAAAGAGATGGAGAAAGATATATCATGTGTTATAGACTGAATGTTTGTGTTCCCCCTTGCTCCCCAAATTTATATGTTGAAACCCTAACTCCTAGTGTGATAGTATTTGGAGATAGGGATCTTGGAAGATAATTAAGGTTAGACGGCACCATGACTAACATAAGGTTAGTACCCTTCTAAGAAGGGACATAGAAAGCTTGCTGTCTTTGCCATGTGAGAATACTACTAGGAGGTAGCTGTCTGCAAATGAGAAAGAGAGCCTTCCCCAGAAATTGACTATGCTGACACCCTGATCACAGACTTTCAGTCTTAAGAAATTTGAGTAAATGAAAATTTCTGTTGTTTAAGATACCCAGTATATGGTATTTTGTTATGGTAGCCTAGATAAACTGTCATATCAAACTACATTGATCAAAAGAAAGCTGGAGTAGCTATATTAATTTCATACAAAGCTGACTTCAGAACAAGGAAAATGATCAAGGATTATGAGAGGCATCATATGGTGATAAAGGGGTAACTAACATTTAAAAAAAAAGATACCATAGAAAGTATGTCTTTACAAGGGAATTAAACTAGAAATAAATAATGAAAATACCTGGAAAATCCCAAAATATTCGGAGATTAAGGAACACGCTTCTAAACACATGGGTCAAAGAAGTGTCAAGAGAAAATACATTTTGAACTAAATAAATGAAAATACAAGTTATCAAAATTTGTGAGATGTAGCAAAAGCAGTGGCTAGAGGGAAATTTATAGTATTGAATGCATATATTGGAAAACGTGAAGGATCTAAAATCAATATGCAACTACCTTAAGAAATTAGAAAAAGAAGAGCAAATTAAATCCAAAGTAAGCAGAAGAAATAATAGAGTAGAAATCAATAAAATTCAACCAAAAACAATAAATTCAACAAAGCGAATGAAATTCAATGAAAAGTTAAAATTTATAAAACTTTTTGTCAGGGCTGGGTGCGGTGGCTCACACCTATAATCCCAGCACTTTGGGAGGCCGAGGTGGGTGGATCACGAGGTCAAGAGATCAAGACCATCCTGGTCAACAAGGTGAAAGCCCGTCTCTACTAAAAATACAAAAATTAGCTGGGCGTGGTGGCGCGTGCGCCTGTAGTCCCAGCCACTGGGGAGGCTGAGGCAGGAGAATTGCTTGAACCCAGGAGGCGGAGGTTGCGGTGAGCCGAGATCGTGCCATTGCACTCCAGCCTGGGTAACGAGCAAAACTCCGTCTTGGGGGAAAAAAAAAAAAAACCTTTTTGTCATACCAAAGGAGAAAGCAAAAATTACTGAAATCAGAAAGGAAAAGAGGTGCCTTTATTACTGTTCTCATGAACATTAGGACATTAGAAGGATAATAAAGGGATGTTATGAGCAACTCTGAGTGTGCAAATTTGATAACATGAATCGACCAATTCTGTGAAACCTCACACAAGGAGAAATAACTGCTTCGCATAAACTTACAAAATAAATTCAATCAATTATGTGCTTGCAAAACAAAGCACTGGTCTCAGATGGTTTCACTAGTGAATTCTACCATTCAAGGATAAAGTGATGCCAACTTTGTACAATCTGTTCTAGAAAACAGAAGCAGAGGAAATGCTTTAACACATTTTGTGAGGCCACATAACCCTGATAACAAAATTAGGTAAAGATATTACAAGAAAGGGCAACCACAGACCAGTATCTCTCATGAACAAAGCTATAAAACTTCTCAACAGAATATTAGCAAATCTAATACAACAATATATAACAAAAAATATATGTACCACAGTCAAGTGGTATTTATTTCAGGTATGCAAGGCTGGTTCAATGTTGAAATCAGTTCATATAATTTATTACATTATCACACTACAGGAGAAAAGTCATATGACTGTTTCAATAGATACAGATAAGCCATTTGACAAAACCAATACCTATTTATGATGAAGACAGACAAAATTATCCACCAGCTAGGAATATAAGGAAATCCTCAATTTCATAAATAATATCTACAAAAAAAACCTACAGCTAACATACTTAATGGCAGGACATCAGATGCTTTCCCTCTAAGAACAGAAACAAGGCAAGTAGATTGCATCATTCCTATTTAATGTTGTGCTGGAAGTTCTTGCTAATGCAATAAGAAAATTCCTGTCTCTCAGTGAAAAATAATTTGGAACTAAAATCTGAATATAGCAAGTTTACAGAGAATGTATGATTCATACACATTCAATTGCTTTCTTATATATAGCAGGTACAGACATTTGGAATTAGAAATTTCAAACATTTACATTAGCATCAAAAGAGAGTAGAGAGAGAAGAAAGAAAGAAGGAAACCAAAAAAAGCCTTTGTGCAAGATCTATATAAGGAAAACTACAAAAGTCTCATGAAGGAAATTGAAGATAGAAATAAATAGAAGGATATTCCATGTTCATGGATAGGAAGACTAAAAATCGTTAAGGTGTTATGTCTTCCTAACTTTATCAATAGATTCAATGAAATCTCAGTAACAATCCCAGCAAGGTTCTTGTGTATATTGACAGAATTTTAAAGTTAATGAGGGAAAGACCCAGAATAGCTGCCAAGATTTTTAAGAAAAACAAAGTTGGAGGACTGACACTGACTTTGGTGATGACTTTTTAGCTACAACACCAAAAGCATGATTCATGGAAGAAAACAGTAAGTTGGACTTTATTAAAATTAAAAAACTGCTCTGTTTCATTTTTCATTTCACTGTTAAAATGAAAGGATATGCCACAACCTGGGATAAAAACTTTGCAAAATATATCTGATAAAGGATTTGTATCCACAATATACAATGAACTCTTAAAACTACAATAAGAAAAACCAATAAAAAAGTAGGTAAAATATCTGAGCTGGCACCTCACAAAAGAAGATATAGCAAATAAGCATGAAAAAATTGTTCAACATGTATGTCATTAGAAAATTGCAAATTTAAATAATGAGATACCACTACATGCCTACCACAATGGCTAAAATTAAAATATAGTAATAAAGGCTGATGAGGATGTGGAGCAAAAGGAACATACAGCTACTTTGTGCTACAGTTTGACAGTTTTTTTTACAAAGCTAAATATAGACTTACTGTAAGCATACCTTGATACTGTGGGTTTGATTCAAGACAATAAGCCACTTTTTTTTGCTCATCCACGGCAAGTAACTTCTCATCTGTTCAAGCTGTATCATGAGATTGTAGCGATTGAGTCACATCTTCAGCCTCCTCTCCTAATTCTAGTTCTCGTGATATTTCTACCACATTTGTAGTTACTTGAACCTCTCAGAGTCATTTATGAGGTTTAGAATCAACCTCTTGCACACTCTTGTTATGTTGATATTTTGACCTCCTCCCATGAATCACACATGTTCTTAATGGCATCTAGAATGGCAAATAATTTCCAGAAGGTTTTCAATGAACTTGAAAACCCAGATCCATCAGAGCAGCCATCTCTGATCTTTTTGGTACCAGGGACCAGTTTGTGGAAGACAGTTTTTCCATGACTGGAGTTGGGGTTGGGGGGAGTGGTTTCAGGATGAAACTGTTCTACCTCAGATTGTTAGGTATTAGATTCTCATAAGGAGCACACAACCTTGATCCCTTACGTGCAGTTCACTAAATGGTTTGTGCTCCTATGAGAATCTAATGCTGCTAATCTGACAGAAGGCAGAGCTCAGGAGGTAATGCTTGCTCGCTTGCTGCTCACCTTCTGTGGCGTGATCCAGTTCCTAACAGGCCAGGGACTGGTACCAGAGCAAAGGCAGAGTAGATTTTAGTATAATTCTTAAGGTCTCTAGGATTGCTGGAATGGTAACTGAGCATTGGTTTCATGGACTGGTACCAGAGCACAGGCAGAGTAGATTTTAGTATAATTCTTAAGGGCTCTAGGATTGCTGGAATCATAACTGAGCATTGGTTTTAAGGTCAACATCTGCATTAGCTCTTAACAAGAGAGTCTTTCTGTTCTCTGAAGCTTTGAAGCCAGGCATTGACTTCTCTAGCTATGAGAGTCCTAGATGGCATCTTCTTCCAATTGAAGGCTGTTTTGTCTACACTGAAATTTTGCTGTTTAGTATAGCCACGTTCAGTTATCTTAGCTAGATCTTCTGGATAATTTGTTGCAGCTTCTGCCTCAGCACTTGTTGCTTCCCCGTGCACTTTTATGTTCTGGAGATGACTTCTTTCCTTAAACTTCATGAACCAACCTCTGCCAGCTTCACACTTTTCTTCTGTAGCTTCCTCACCTCTCTCAGCCTTCATAGAATTGAAAAGAGCCAAGGCCTTTTGGATTAGGCTTTGGCTTAAGGGAATGTTGTGGTTGTGTCTTAGTCAGTTTTCTGCTGCTTATAACAGAGTAACTAAAACTGGATAACTTATAAAAGAGGAATTTCTTTCTACAGTTATTGAGCCAGAAAGTCCAAGGTTGAGAAGCTGCATCTTGTGAGGCCTTGCTGCTGGTGACTCTGAAGAATCTCACAGTGTTACAGGGCATCACATGGTGAAGGGTCTGAGAAGAAGTTCTCTGTTCCTCTTATTATAAAGCTACCAATCTCATTCCCATGATAACCCAATACTCCATTAATTAATAAATGGAGTAAGCCGTTTTTCATTCATTCGAGCACAGTCCTCATGACCTAATCACCTCTTAAAGGCCCTGCATGTTTAATATGGCAGAAATATAAAAGAAAAAGTAAATTTTGATAATGTTATTGAGCAAGTGAATTAATTTATTCTAGAGCTTTCCTACTTGGGAACATGATACATAAGATAAGCAGTCTCCTCAAGCAACTTCAGCTCCTTGGCTTTGTCCTTATGCCCCTGGAATTTCACATGCTCCACAAACTTGCGAGGGGTTTTGAAGTAGCTGTTGCAAATGTTACAGAAGGGTCTCAGGGATTGTTTGGCAATCTTGTGGTCCTGTGTCCTGCAGTGTTGGATCAGGTCCCCCATGTAGTAGAGCTGGCAGGTGTTGCACCAACGCCTTGGTGGAGGCTCCTCATCCTCTGTATCCAGGATGTCCCAGGGCACGGGCAGCAGGGACAGGAGGCAGGCTTGGCTCATATGCTGGATCTCCCCTAGCTACTGGGGGTGCTGAGGCTCGGATTCATGTGGCCCTGGAATTGCTGCTAGCTGGAGCAGCTGGCCTTGCAGTTGTAGCAGAATAACTGGAGGGCCTGCTTAGAGAATGTGCTTGTAGCTGCAGGGGTGGAGAAGTCGGAGTCACTGGGGTGGGGCATGAGTGTCAGGGATACAGTCCAAAAGGCCCGACTGTCACTGCTCTGCAGAATAGTGACCTTCAGGGAGCCCCCAGCACCTTACACTCTGTTTTCACATTCTCTCACATCTAGGCCACTGGCCAGCTCCTTCTGGTTCTCTTCCATGCTGACTTGGGTGCCCACAGGCTCTGGCAAGGTCTTTTCCATGCCTCTACCAGCTCCTACTATATCAGGTGGCATCTCCAGCCCACAGACATGAACCACAACTGGTACTTGGCTCTGGAGCCAGCACCGACACCTGTGGCTGGGTCTGAGGCTGCTTATCGGTCTGCACTGGTGGCTGTACTGGCACCTGCACTGGGGGCTGCTCCTGTGACTGGACCCTTGGCTGTGCTTGTGTGTGGACCTGTGGCTATGTCTGTGTCTGGGCCTGCTTCTGCAGCTGCAGCTGCACCTGCCTTGGGGGCTATGAATGTGCCTGGGGCTGCAGCTGTTTCTGTGGCTCTGCCTCTTGCTGCAGCTGTGGCTGCCCTTTCTTCTGTTGTGGGACTAAGTGCTCTGGAGAAGTCTGTGTTTGTACCTGCTTCTACAGCTTTGGCTGCACCTGGGTATCTGTGGGTGGTATCCGTGGCTGAGTCTGTGACTGCACCTGGGCCTGGACCTGCATGACCTGTGGCTGGAATCGTGGCAGCATTTGGGCTTCCAAAGGCTCAGACACCAGGTCTGGTGTCCATGTCTGCTTCGGTACTGTCATCTGGGCCTGTGGCCCGTGCTGTGCTTGTGGATCTGGAGCTGGGCACCATGGACTCTGTGTGCTTGGGGCCCTTCGGGCAGATCTTCAGGCCAGACAGCTTCATCTTTGGTCAGTGTGAGGCTGGGAACAACTGGGTCAAGGGGTACTACACAGAAGGTGCAAAGCTGATGGAGTCAGTGATGCACATTGTGAGAAAAGAGGCTGAGAGCTGTGATTGCCTGATTGCCTGCAGGGTTTCCAGCTGACCCCCTCCCTGGGTGGGGGGACTGGGTCTGGGATGGGTACCCTTCTCATGGGCAAAATTCAGGAGGAGTACCCAGACAGGATCATAAACACATTCAGCATCCTGCCCTTACCCAAGGTGTCAGACACCGTGGTGGAGCCCTACAATGCCACCTTCTCCATCTACCAGCTCATAGAAAATGTAGATTAGACATTCTTCATCGATAATGAAGCACTCTATAACATCTTAAAACTGACCACACCCACCTTTGGTGACCTGAATCACCTGGTGTCTGCTACCATGAGTGGGGTCACCACGTGTCTGCCCTTCCTGGGCCAGCTGAATGCTAACCTGCGGAACCTGGCCTTGAAAATGGTTCCATTTCCCCAGCTACACTTCTTCGTGCTTGGCTTTGCCCTGCTGACCAGCCAGGGCAGCCAGCAGTACTGGGCCCTGACCGTGGCTGAGCTCACCCCGCAGCTGTTTGATGCTAAGAATATGATGGCTGCCTGTGATCCCTGTCGTGGCCGCTACCTAACCATGGCTGCCATTTTCAGAGGTCGCATGTCCGTGAGGGAGGTGGATGAACAAATGTTTAATATTCAGAACAAGAAGAGCAGCTACTTTGCTGAGTGGTTTCCTCACAACGTGAATACAGCCGTCTGTGACATCCCACCCTGGGGGCTAAAAATAGCCACCTTCATTGGTAACAACAGCCATCCAAGAGCTCTTCAAACAGTTTACAGCTATGTTCAGGCAGAAGGCCTTCCTGCACTGGTACACAGGCGAGGGCATGGATGAGATGGAGTTCACTGAGGCCGAGAGCAACCTTAATGACCTGGTGTCTGAATACCAGCAATACCAAGATGCCACAGCTGAGGAGGAGTTTGAGGAGTGTGCTGAGGAGGAGGTAGCTTAGAAGCTTCCTGTTCTAGGTAAAGGGGGAAGCAGTGTGGATTCTTTAGTGTGTTCTGATAGCTATTGTCGCTATGCACTTCTTTGAGACTTTACATCTCCTCCTGCATTTTAAAGCATTTTTATAGGTGTAGTTTGGCCTAATAAAACATTTTTATGGCAAAAAAAATTTTTTTAATGACTTTATTTATTGGAGACAGAGTCTCTCTGTGTCGCCTAGGCTGGAGTGCAATGGCATGATCTTAGCTCACTGCAATCTCCTCTTCCTGGATTCAAGTGATTCTCAGCGTCAGCCTCCTGAGCAGCTGTCATTACAGGCACCCACCAACATGCCTGGCTAATTTTTTGTATTTTTAGTGGAGATAGTGTTTCATCTTGTTGGCCAGGCTGGTCTTGAAATCCTGACCTCAAGTCATCTGCCTGCCTTGGCCTCCCAAAGTGCTGGGAGTACAGGCATGAATCACTATACCCTGCCAATGTCTGAGTTTTTAGTAGGGATGGGGTTTTGCCATGTTGTCCAGGCTGGTCTCGAACTCCTGGGCTCAAGCAATCCACCAACCTCCACATCCCAAAGTGTGGGGATTGCAGGAATGAGCCTCTGCACCTGGCCTTTTTTTTTTTTTTTTTTTTTTGAGATAAGGTCTCACTGTTACAAAAGCTGGAGTTGAGTGGCTTTGAACTCCTGGGCTTACACCATCTTCCTATCTGTCTCATAAATAGCTAGGATTACAGGTGCCTGTCACCATGCTATTTTTTTTTTTTTTTTTTTTTTGAAGTAGGATCTTGCTGTGTTGCCTGGGCTAGTCTTGAGCTCTTGATCTCAAGACATTCTTTCACCTGGGCCTCCCAAAGCAGTGGTTCAAGCGATTCTTTTGCCTCAGCCTCCTGAATAGCTGGGACTACAGGCACACACCACCACGCCTGGCTAATTTTTGTATTTTTAGTAGAGATGGGGTTTCACCATATTGGCCAGGCTGGTCTTGAACTCCTGACCTCAGGTAATCCACATGTCTTGGCCTCCAAAAGTGCTGAGATTACAGGTGTGAGCCATCACGTCTGGCCACTGTTTTTATTTTTATAGTAAAAATATATTATACTTTGAAACAAGTATAGTGTATATAAGTATATATAAGTACTTTGAAAAAAAACAGGAAAGTATAAAGATGAAAACTAAAAATCCCACCACATAGAGATAACCACTTATAATCTTTCTTGTATTACTTAACCTCACTCTATGACATGTGCTAGAAAATATGAAATTATGATCCTAGTTTTATGAAGTAAATTGTTTATGTGTTCTATATTTGCTTATAATGTTCTTTATGATTATATACTATATAATGAGCTCTGCTTGTTTTACTTTTGGTTGTATTTTTTTCATAACTAGGTAATATTAGAAAAAACACTATTTAGGCTACTGGACTGTTAAGAAAGTAGGAGTACCATTATTTATTTAACAATTTATTATGGGCTGTTGAGGTTGTTTCTAGTCTTTCACGCTTAGAAATAGCACTGTGATTAATGTATTTATATAAATTTCTAGAAATAGAGACACTAGGTCAAAGAGTGTAAGTGCTTTGTTTTGAGTTGTTTGAGACAGTGTCTCTGTGGCCAGGCTGGAGTGCAGTGGTGCAGTCATAGCTCACTGTAGCCTCACCCTCTATGGCTCAAGAGATCCTCCTATTTTAACCTCCTAAGTAGCTGGGACTATAGGTGTGTCCCACCGTGCCTAGTTAATTTTATGTATTTTTGTTGTAGAGATGGAGTTTTGCTATGTTGCCCAGACTGGTCTAAAACTCCTGGACTCAAGCAATCCACCTATCTTGGCCTCCCAGAGTGCTAGAATTACAGACGTGAGCCACCTTGCCCAGCCTTTAAGGCTCTTGATTCAATTTATACTCCCACCAGCAATGTATGAGATTGCCCATATTATGGAACTCTTGCCAACAATGAGTATTTTTAAAAACATTTTGTCTATTTGATAAAAAAAATCTTGTTTTAATTTATATTTCTTGGATTATAAGTGAGATAACTTTTTTTTTCATAGTTTACTGGCTGTTTGTATTTCTTCTTTTGTGAATTTCCTCTTTGTTTCCTTGATCATTATTCTAGAAGAGTACTGAATAGAGACAATGCAAACTATATATGTGATTTTATAGTAAATTTTATTGTGGCCTCATTAAATAAGTAAAAAGAAACAGGTAAAATAAATTTTAATGATGAAATTATTTTAGTAATAAAAATCTTAATAATAAAATTTATTTAAATATACCTTAAATATTATTATTTCAATATTGGCACTAGCTACATTTCAAGTGCTCTTGTGAGTAGTGGCTACCATATTGGACAGTGCAGATTCAGAACATTTCCATTATAGTGGAAAGTTTAGCTGGACGGCACTAGCATGGAATGTTAGAGCTTTTGATACTTATTTATAAGGAAACTTTATATATTTAGTTTTTTTGTCTATCCTATTTGTTGTTTTTCCAGTATTCTATTAACCTTTTAATTTTGTTTATTCTTTTTATTTACTTATATTCAAACAATATAGATGAATCTGTCATTCTTTCCCTTTGTTGTCTATTCCATTGCTTGAGGTCTGCCTATTCCCAGAATAGTTAATTCCTCACCTATATTTTTCCCCTCGCCTTTCTTGTTTTTACACACAGGGCCTTACTATGTTGTTCAGGCTGGAGTGCAGTGGCTATTCACAGGCATGATCATAGCACACTGCAGCCTCAAACTCCTGGCCATAAGCCATCCTCTTGCCTCAGCCACCCAAGAAGCTAGGACTACAGGCACACACTACTTAACCAGGCTACCTTAGATTTTTTAATGGCTTAATTTGTAATGCAATTATTTAATCTTGAAATGTATCACATTATTTTAAAAGTGTACTGGATGTCCAGGCGCAGTGGCTCACGCCTGTAATCTCAGCACTTTGGGAAGCCTAGGCTGGGGGAATCACGAGGTCAGGAGATCGAGACCATCCTGGCCAACATGGTGAAACCCTGTCTCTACTAAAATACCAAAAATTAGGTGGACATGGTGGCATGCTCCTGTAGTCCCAGCTACTCGGGAGGCTGAGGCAGGGGAATCACTTGAACCAGTAGGTGGAGGTTGCAGTAAGGCGATATTGTACCACTGTACTCCATCCTAGTGACAGAGCAAGACTGCGTCTCAAAAAAAAAAAAAGTGTACCTGATCTATCAAGAAGCTTACTATGGTTGCATGTCTATCAATTTCTCCTTGGAGTTTGTAAGAGTTCCTGTCTTAAGTATTTTGATGCTGTGTTATTCAGTGCATAACAGTTCAGGATTGTTGATAATTGTAAATGACTATGATTCTCCTGGTCCTTTGTAGTACTTTTTGTATTGACTCCACTTTATTTGAAATTAATATTGTCACCCCTGGTTTGGGTGGTCACATTTTCCTAAGAAATCATTGTCTAAGCTTTAATTTTTAACCTTCCAGTTTTATTTTGTATATGATTTTATAATTATTATTATTAATGAGTCAGAGTCTCACTCTCCCAGGCTGGAGTGCCTGTGGCGTGATCTCCGCTCACTGCAACCTCCACCTCCTGGGTTCAAGTAACTCTCCCACCTCAGCCTCCTGAAGTAGCTAAGATTACAGGTGTGCGCCACCATGCCAGGCTAGTTTTTGTAATTTTAGTAGAGATGGAATTTAACCATATTAGCCAAACTGATCTCGAACTCCTGGCCTCAAGTGATCCACTGGCCTTGGCCTGCCAAAGTGCTGGGATTGCAGGCATGAGCTACTGCGCCCAGCCTTTTGTAATTATTTTTGTAACTATGATTACATTTTAACTCTGTTAACTTGATTTTTGTTCTTATAGCTGGTCCTTTTATATGTCAATTTCTCCCATTTTTTTGAGTTTTTTTTTTATCACTTAGACTACTGATATATGCCTTCAGTAATTATTTTCAAATACATATCTTATAGTCAGTACTCAATACATACTTTCTGAATAAAATAAAAAATAAATATGAAGGAAGGAAAGAAGGAATGTTGTTAAGCCTTTACACATCATAGATTGTCTTTCTGTTCTGTGGTAAAAAGCATATGACTTTTTGTTTTATGATAAATCTACTTTTTACTCCTGAATGATGGTCTCATGTCTCTCTCTTTTTTTTCAATGAACTTTATTTTTTTAGCCTTTTTTTTTCTTTTAAACATTTAAACATTCTGCCAGGTTATATCTAGGTTTTAATTTCTTTACACTGATTTTACCTAGAAAAGAATGAGACTGTTAATCTTCCAATTTAAGTCCTTCTTAAATTCAGGAAGGTTTTTTTCTGATATATATTTGTCTGTTTTTGTACAGTTTTTCTGAATCCATTTTCAGGAACATGACTAATCTTGAGATTGGATCCCAGGTTCTAGCCCTCATATTAATCATTAATTTTCATCTGTTTGCTCATTTGATATACATTTAGAAGGAGTTTTGGCAAATAACACAAGATGAGGAATTAAGTTGGTTTTTTCTAATTAGCTTGCCTTCTCAAAACTGAAAAAATACAAGTTTATTTTCTATATCTTCTGTTCTGTTATTTTTATTTTTTAATTAATTTTTTACTTTTTATTTTTGTGGGCACACAATAGGTGTATATATTTATAGGGCACATGAGATATTTTGATACAGGCATGCAATATGTAATAATCACATCAGGGCAAATGGGGTATCCATCAATTCCAGCATTTCTCTCTTGTGTTAGTCTAATTATACTTTTTTAGCTATTTAAAAATGTACTGTTAAATTATATTTGATTGTAGTCACCTTGTTGAACTAGCAAATACTAGGTCTTATACATTCTTTTCTTTTAAATTTTATTTAAAATTATTTTTTGTAGAGACAGGGTCCCCCTGTGTTGCCCAGGCTGGTCTTGAACTCCTGGGTTTTAGCAATCCTCCACCTTGGCCCCCCAGAGTGCTAACATTACAGTCACTATGTCCAGCCATGCATTCTTCTATTCTTTTCTTTACCCATTAACCATCCCCACTTCTCTTCAACCCTCTTTTCCCCCACTATCCTCCCCAGCCTCTGGTAACCATCTTTCTACTCTCTATCTCCATGAGTTCCAATGTTTTAATTTTTATTTTCCACGAATAAGTAAGAATGTTTGACTTGAAGTTTGTCCATCTGTGCATGGCTTATTTCACTTGACATAATGCCTCCTGTTTCATCCATGGTGTTGCAGACGACAGGATCTCATTATTTTTTATGGTCCAAGAATACTCCATTGCATATGTAGTTACAGATTGCTAGTTAGATTGAATGCTTCATTATTTATTTATTGGTCTTAGCTTAATTTCTCCTGTGACTTACCTATTTATGGCATTTTCCAATTTTTTTGGTTTGTCTCTCATAGATTTGTGAGAGTTATTTAATACTCTAGGTATTTATTCTGTTTCAATTATATGTATTGTAAATCATCCCAATCTCTGGTTTATATTTTTCATGTTTTAATGATCTTTTAATTTTCATTTAATAAAGTAAAACTCATCAATCTTTTCCTTTATGCCTTGAGTCTTTGCACTTAAGAAATTCTACAATAATTAGAAAGTATTTATTTTTACTATATCAGATTCAAATCCCATCTTATTAAAGGAGTAAAATGTATCATATTGAAAGTATATGAAATTTGGCTGGGCACAGTAGCTCACGCCTGTAATCTCAGCACTTTGGGAGGCAGAAGCAAGTGGATCACCTGAGGTCAGGTGTTTGAGACCAGCCTGGCCAACATGGTAATACCCTGCGTCTACTAAAAATACAAAAATTAGCTGGGCATGGTAGCATGAGCCTGTAATCCCAACTACTCAAGAGGCTGAGGCATGAGAATTACTTGAACCTGGAAGGCAGAAGTTGCAGTGAGCCAAGGTCATTGCCACTGCACTCCAGCCTGGGTGACAGACTGAGACTCCTTAAAAAAAAAAGTACATGGAATTTGGTTTTATTTTTCTAGAAACAAGTTCTTGCTCTGTCACCCAGGCTGGAGAATAGGGGCAGGATCATAACTCATTGTAACCTCAAACTCCTAGGCTCAAGCAATCTTCCTACCTCAGCCTTTCAAATAGCTAGGACTACAGGTGTGCACCACTACACCCAGCTAATTTTTAAATTTTTTTTGTAGATTCAGTGTCTTGCTGTGTTGCCCAGTCTCGTCTCAAATTCCCGGCCTCAAGCCAGGAATTCCCACCTCAGTATCCCAAAACACTGAGATTTCACGTATGAGTCACCATGGGAGTTTGGTTTTAATGTGTACATCTAATTTTAGTATCTCAACGTTGAATTAGTAATTTATCATCTTGGCTGGGTGCGTTGGCTCATGCTTGTAATCCCAGCACTTTGGGAGGTTGAAGCAGGTGGATCACGAGGTCAGGAGTTTGAGACCAACCTGGCCAATATGGTGAATCCCTGTCTTTACTAAAAATACAAAAATTAGCTGGGTGTGGTGGTGTATGCCTGTAGTCCCAGCTGCTCAGGAGGCTGAGGCAGGAGAATTGCTTGAATCCCAGAGGTAGAGGTTGCAGTGAGCCAAGATTGTGCCACTGTACTCCAGCCTGGGCGTAAGAGCAAGACTCCATCTCAAAATAATAATAATAATAATAATAATAATAATCAGTAGAATTCAACATCTTTAGAGAGTGTCACTTGCTTCAATGTAATAATTAATTTCAAGCAAGTATATAATCAGAGTTCTGCATGTCACTTTTCTGAAAACGCAAGCAGTCTGATTTTAAGAAATGATTTGGTTTTCAACTTAAACATTTAGGTTTAATTCATAAGTTGATGTATTAAAAGTTTTAAGGGTTTGTTCTTACCTCTGTAAATTCCTCAATCACTGTTCTTTGGCTCTCAGATTCTTCTGACTTTGCTTCTATTTTTTAGTTTTTGAAATATATACATTTATATAAACAAATTTCTTCCTCTCCCCAATTTTCATTTATTCCATCTTTGGTTTCCTGAATGGAGTTCACTTAAATTTATTCGTTTTCTGAAAACTTAATATTTTGCGGGGCGGAGGTGTGACTAAGGAGTTTGCTGTCAACTCTATTCTGCCCATAATCTTCATTTCTTAATTAATGATGAAAGAAAAGAAAAGCTGGAGGGAATGAATGTTGGGGAGACTGGGTCCCCTTGAGGAAGGACCCCACTACACTACTGACAATTTATGCTATTAATTTTTCTCCCATCCTTCCCCAAGGAGACCTCTGGCCTTTTACCAGAGTAACTGTGCATTGGGAAAAGGGGAATGATCAGACTTTTCAGGGACTACTGGACAGTGGCTCTGAGCTGACGTTGATTCCAGGGGACCTGAAACATCACTGTGGTCCTTCAGTAAAAGTAGGGGCTTATGGAGGTCAGATAATTAATGGAGTTTTAGCTCAGGTCCCACTTATAGTGAGTCCATGGGTCCCTGGACTCATCCTGTGGTCATTTCCCCAGTGTCAGAATGCATAATTGACATAGACATACTTAACAACTGGCAGAATCCCCACATTGGCAAGGTGAAAGCTATTATGGTGGAAAAGGCCAAGTGGAAACCATTAGAGCTGCCTCTTCCTAGAAAAATGGTAAATCAAAAATAATATTATTAAAACAAACAAACAAAAAATAACAACAAAAACCAATATCACATCCCTGAAGGGATTGCAGAGATTAGACCACCATCAAGGACTTGAAAGACTCAGGGATGGTGATTCCCACCACATCTCCATTCAGCTCTGCTGTTTGGCCTGTACAGAAGACAGATGGACTTTGGAGAATGTCAGTGGATTATCGTAAGCTTAACCAAATGGTGACTCCAATTGCAGCTGCTGTACCACATGTGGTTTTGTTACTTGAACAAATTAATACATCTGGTTTCTAGTATGCAGCCATTGATTTGACAAGAGCCTTTTTCTCCATTCCTGTTTGTAAGGCCCATGGGAAGCAATTTGCCTTCAGCTGGCAAGGCCAGCAATATACCTTCACTGTCCTACCTCAGGGATATATAAACTCTCTGGCTTTGTGTCATTATCTTGTCTGCAGAGATCTTGATCACTTTTCCCTTCCACAGGATATCACACTGGCCCATTACATGGATGACATTATGTGGCTGGATCCAATGAGTAAGAAGTAACAAACACACCGGACTTATTGGTGAGACATTTGCCTGCCAGGGGATGAGCAATAAATCCTACTAAAAATTCAGGGAACTTCTACCTCAGTAAAATTTTTAGTGGTCCAGTGGTGTGGGGCCTTTCGAGATATTCCTTCTAAGGTGAAGGATAAATTGCTGCATTTGTCCCTTCCTACAACCAAGAAAGAGGCACAATGCCTAGTGGGTCTATTTGGATTTTGGAGGCAACACTTCCCTCATTTTGGTGTGTTACTCCAGCCCATTTATTGAATGACTCGAAAGGCTGCCAGTTTTGAGTAGAGAAAGCTCTACAACAGGACACTTTCGGCTCTTCCTGCCTTTAAGTCAACAGGCTAAGAAGGGAATTACAATGTTGGCTGGGTGATTGACCCAGTTATCAAGATGAAATCAGTCTACTACTCCACAGACTGATTTCAAGATGAAATCAGTCCACTCTTTTTTACCTAATGGAGATAAGGAAGAGTATGCATAGAATACAGGAGATTCCTTAGGACCTCTTTTAGTATTACCATGTCGTATGATTAAGGTCAATGGAAAACTATAACAACTCAATCAAAGCAGGACTAAAAATGGCCCAGACCCTTCCAGAATGAAGGTTTGGGTCAGTCTACCAGATACAAAGTGATGACCTGCTGAGGTGCTTTATGAAGGTACAGGGTATACAGAATGGGTAGTAGAAGAAGGTTGTCATCATACTGATACTGCATGATCGGTTGTGAAATGAGGACTGTAATTTTCATGAGTTATTTTGTTAAGAACATGTTTATATGAAAAAAAAAAGTGTGAAAGATGGCCGTTTAGAAGCAGCTCAGGATTGCACCTCCCAGTGAAAGCGCAGAGGGTGAGTGGATGCCGCATTACCAGACGGATCTTTATTGCCCACAGACCAGGAGATTCCCAGGCAGAGGAGCCCCATGGGTTGCCAGCATGGCTGTTTTGGCCTGCGTGACTGTTTTGCCAGTGCCCCGGCGTGGCGGTTCTCCGTACAAAATACACTGATCTGGTTGCCCTTTTAAGCTGGTGATTGGAGCTCTGAGAAGGCAGAGTCGCCCGTTCATCTGATTAAACAGGGAACTGAAACAGGGAGCCAAGCCAGGAGATTCCGGGGCAAAAAAGTACCACGAATCTCAGCACTGTTGTTTCAGCTGGTGCAGTGGGTCACTGCATGGGAAATCACACAGATCCCAGCACCTTTTCAGCAGGTGACTGGAACACCTGGGAGAGAGTCAACAATTCAACTTAAAAAAAAAAAAGGCTCTGAGGCAGGGAGCCAAGTGATCAGGCTCGGCGGGTCCCACCACCACAAAAAAAAAAAAAAAAACAGCAATTTGAAACGCTCTGGGTTGAGAGTTCCATGGCAAGCACAGCTGAACCCGGGACAATCCAGCTCTGTGGGGGAGGGGCGTCCACCATTACGGAGGCACTCCACCCCTACGGAGGTAGTCCGCCATTGCTGAGGCAGCCCGCTGTTGCCGAGGCAACCCACCATAACAGAGAGAGTCCGCCATTATAGATGTGGGCGACCATTGCTGAGGCAGTTCTAACCACACCCATATAAATAGGACTGCAGAGACATTCACACGGCAGCAGGGCAGAGCCCACAGCAGCTCAGCAGAGCCTCTGCAGGCAGGCAATGACTAGGCTGCCCTCGTGCTGGGCAGGGCAGCCCTGAAAAAAAAGGCAGCAGCACAATGGAAACTCATAAATAAAGCCCTAATTCCCCGGGACAGAGCACCTGGGAAAAAAAAGGGGGTGTTATGAGTTCTGCTGCAGCAGACTTAAACATATCTGCCCAGCAACTCTGAATGAACAACGGAGCTCACAGCTCAGCACTTGAGCTCCTATAAAAGACAGACTATCTTCTCAAGCAGCTCCCTGACCCCCGTATATCCAAAGAGTCACCTCACAAGGGACTGATCAGTCTGATATTTGGCAGGCATCATTCTGGGACAAAGATAGCAGAAGAAACTGCTGCAGGTGATCCCCAGGCAAGCAGGACCTGGAGTGGATCTCAGCAGTCCTACAGCAGAGGGGCCAGAATGTTAGAAGGAAAACTAAAAAACAGAAATAACTTCATCATCAACAAACTGGACGTCTACTCGGAGACTCAATCTGATAATCAGCAACTATAAAGACAACAGGTGGATAAATCCACAAAGATGGAAAGAAACCAGCACAAAAAGGAGGAAAACACCCAAAACCAGAACACCTCTCCTCCTACAGGGGATCACAACTCCTCACCAGCAAGGTAACAAAGCTGGATGGAGAATGAGTGTGATGAAATTACAGAATCAGACTTCAGAAGGTGGGTAATGAGAAACTTCTGTGAGCTAAAAGAACATGTTCTAACCCAATGCAAAGAAACTCAGAACTTTGAAAAAAGATTTAACGAAATGCTAACGAGAATGGACAACTTAGAGAGGAATATGAGTGAATTGATGGAACTGAAAGAACATGTTTATGCATGTATACACTTGTACTAAGAAAATGTCTTCATTTTCCTTTTTTCTTTATCATGTGACATAAAATTTATTGATTTCATATCAGCATTTCAGTGTTGTTAACTTTATGTATTAGCATTTAGTTTAAGGATTAGTGCACTTCCGGTTTTACAACAGATAGTGATAGCCATATTATGTTAGGCATAATTATAACCTTATTATTGTCTTTATTTGGAGATTATGTATGATTTCAGGAGATGTATATGGATTCCAGTTGACAAAGGGTAGATTCGTAATGGTTAATATTGAGTGTCAACTTGACTGGATTGAAGGATGCAAAGTATTGTTACTGGGTGTGTCTGTGAGGGTGTTGCCAAGGGAGGTTAACATTTGAGTCAGTTAACATTTGAGTCTTTACAGCTAAAGAAGTGCAGCTCATGGAATTCACTGGTCTTCTCATCGTTTTGAAGCAGCTGGGTTGATAGAATGGTGGAACTTGGAAAGGAGGACCAATGCTCAATCTGGGTGGGCATCTTCTAATCAGCTGCCAGCGAGGCTAGAATAAAAGCAGGCAGAACATGGAAGTACTAGACTGACCGAGTCTTCCAGCCTCATCTTTCTCCCATGTGGATACTTCCTGCCCTCAGACATCAGACTCCAAGTTCTTCAGGTTTTGGACTCTTGGTCCACCAAGTGGTTTGCCAGGGGCCCTTTGGCCATAGACTGAAGGCTGCACTGTTGGTTTCTCTACTTTTGAGGTTTTGGGACAGACTGGCTTCCTTGCTTCTCAGCTTGCAGATGGCCTATTGCAGGACTTCACATTTTGATCATGTGAGTCAATACTTTTAATAAACTCCCCTTCATATCTATCCTATTAGTTCTGTCCCTCTAGAGAACCCTGACTAATATAGCTTCTATTTTTTGGTTTTTAAAATACATACATGCATATAAACAAATTTCTTCCCTTCCCCAGTTTCCATTTATTTCAGCTTTGGTTTCCTGAATGGGGTTCACTTAAGTGTATTAGTTTTCTAAAGACTGCTAGCTTTTTTTTTTTTAAGGTGTGACTAAGGGGTTTCCTGTCAACTCTATTCTGCCCATAATCTTCATTTCTTAATTAAACAAAGAAAGAAAAGCTGGAGGGAAAAGTTTTGAAAGAGAAAAAGATTGGTTTCTATAATAATTTTAAAGAATTTTTACTGCAATGAAAATTCTTTCAGGGTTTAATTTAAATTTGTTTATGAAGAAGAAAATGAATGGGTATAGTACATACATTTCCATGGTAACAGAAGTGCTAAATACACTATTAAAATGGCCAGATATTTATATAGGATTTACATTCCAAGAAAAAGAAAAAAGTGAAGGGGAAGCAAGATGGAATAGATTGTGGCTGGGTACGATGGCTGATGCTTGTAATTCAAATACTTTGGGAAGTCAAAGTCGGAGGATCACTTGAGCCTGAGCTCAAGACCAGCCTGGGCAACAGGGAGGCCCTATCTCTACAAAAATAAAAAATTAGCTGGGGATGGTGGTTCATGCCTGTAGTCACAGCTATTCGGGAGGCTGAGGTGGGAGGCCCACTTGGGCCCAGGAGTTGGAGGTTGCAGTGAGCTCTGTTGGTGCCTGCACTCCAGCCTGGGCAACAGAGTGGAACTCTGTCTCAAAACACAAAAAGAGATTTAAAGGGTTATAAAGGATTGAGGGGATATTGGTCAAAGGATACAAAATTTTAGTTAGGAAGAATAAGTTCAACAGATGTACATTATGGTGATTTTAGTTTAAAACAATGTATTATATACTTGAAAATTGCTAAGAGAGTAGAGTTTTAGTGTTCTTACCATAAAAAATGATATGCATTAATATACATGTTAAATAGTTTGATTTAGCCATTCCACCATGTTTATATATATTAAAACATGTTGTATACCATAAATATATATACTTTTTATTAGTCAATTTAAGTAAGTAAATAGATAATAAAAATTTAAGAAAGAGACTTAAGAGAATGGTGGTTACATGGGCCAGTTGACTTGTGAAAATTCATTAGTCTGAACATTTGTCATCAAACTATATAATTTATGCATTTTTCTGTATGGATATTTTACTTCAATTGAAAGTTTATTTAGAAAAGACATAAGAGATAGGTCAAGCCATTGCAATGTTTGGATCTTGATTCTAATAACAAGAGGCATTTGACTTTTTGCAGTTAGGAAATCTGAGTAGGATATTTGATGGCGTGAAAGAGTTATTAATGTTTTAAGAATAATAGTGGCGTGTATTTATTTTTTAGTCCTTTTATTTTAGAAATACAGGGCAGTACTTAATGGGTGTCATGAAATGGTATCTTTAAAATAATACAGATGGAATATCTAATGGGTACATATAATAGATGAAATAAAGTTGGTCACACTTGAACACTTGAAACTGGTTGATGGCTACATGGGTGTTCATTATACTTTTTTTTAACTTTTGTATATGTTTGAAATTTTCTACAATGCAGTTAAAATATTTACACAAACACATATATACACATATATAAAGTTAAATTTTCACTTCACTATTTCCCAACCTAATCATTTTTCACCAGTTATTCCCAGTATTGACCCAATCACTTGGAGGAGACAGAACTGTTGGAAAATTTTCATTACTCTGTTTAGACACAGGATGGCACTCTTTGAATAAGTAATTAGCCAAAGTCCACTCCCACTGAGTAAGCTCCTCTACAAGCTGCTACTTTGTAGGGCAGTTTATCTTAGTTGAGGGTAAAATCTTTTCAGAGAGCTTAAGTAGATGTTTACTGCTCAGACCTTTATCTTTGTGTGTGTGCTGGCTGTCCCTATCTACTGCCAGTTCTTGAAAAATTAAGGAAGGTTAAGGTTCAAAACTACTTAAATAGTCATTTGATGCCTACTTTTCTTATTTTTGGTGTTTACAATTATTACAATATTTTGCTACCTCATGTGTTTTCATATATGTGCACACACATACATATATGTACACATACATATACATACATACATACATGTGAATCATCTTTATTTAAAACTCTATATGCCAACTATTGAACAGATTTCTACAGTTTAAATGGCATTTAACCAAATACTGCTGATTAAGGTCAGGATGAGGACTATTGACTTTATAGACAGATGCTTTCCACTTTCAACCCTTGAAGAATTGAAATAACTGTATTCTTGGACGTTCTCAGTCTGATTCATGTCTCCTTTTAGCCAACTATTCATAGATTCACCAGAAGAATTACACCTACTACCTCCGGCGTAGGAAGAAAAAAAAAATGGGCAATAAGGTTAGCAGAAGCTTGAAATTTAAGAGCCAATATTCAGAAAGATCATCCTTCCTACCCGCTTCCCTCTGGTCCAATTCTGCTTTGTGGTTCTGGCCATCGGAAATCGACTTGGCATTAACTAAGGACTGGAATTTCAAGGCGTCAATTTTCCCCTGCCCCCAACCTCGGAAACTCTTAAACGGCTCCCTATTTTACACTCAATGGTAGAGACAGATAAATGATGCAGCAGATTACACCGTTGAAAGGCAACGTTTGTCCTGAGCTATTTTCACACTTTTTCCTGTTTCCGATTTATGTGCCAGACTTTGTTTGCTTACTTAGGACATGGAAAACATATTGGGCATTTTCTCCCGAGTTTAATGCTGGTGGCTTTCTCTCAGCAAATGAAAGTGAAAGTGCTACATTGTAGCGGTATTTTATCCTTAAAGTCTGGACTGGCAGCCGGTTTGTAGGGGGGGAGGGAGGGTGGGATTGGGAAGCTTGAAGAACCAGTTTTGAGGTTTTGTTTGTTTATCTTGAAATCGCAGCAGGGTTCCTGTTTTTTTCCCTTCCTTTTTTTTCCGGGGGGGGGGGTTCCGATTTCGGATTTATTTTCATTTAGGCAGTCATTGAAGTTTCATTCAATGTACTGACTTCAAAAAAATACACTGCACTTGTAGCTTTTCCCGGTTGCACTTTAAAACACCATCCAGTCTCACCCTCATCTGGAAATAATGCAAGCTTCTCTATTCCCCCGCTCCCTCCTCCCCTACTTTTTTTTTTTTTTTTCTTTTAAAGCTCCACATAACCTGAAGTCGATAATCAGATGGAAAATGTGCTGGTATTAGTCTACTTTACTTTCCCGTTTGATGCTAACCTTACTTGAAGTATTTATAAAACATAGGCATTTTGTACACTTGTAACTACTGAGTCTTGAAGTCCGCCTGCTCCACGAATCTAAGCTTTGCTATAAGTTTCCTCAGAGGCACTGTTTACGTGCAAGTTTTGACATTTTGACAGTGTGAATTTCAAAAATAAAATTACACAAAGAATGACACCGGACATCTTAACAGTGACATTGGTACATATAAAGTCATTCATCCTTCTCCCTCCCCCTTCCTTTTTCCAAGAAACAACTAATAGCAAACCAGTATAGAATTTCTAAAAGAGGTTAGAGAAGGAGGAGGAAAAGAGGCGGAGTGAGATAGGAGAGAGAGGTTAGAGAGGCCAGGATTTCTCTCATTCACAGTGTGGAAAAGTTAACATTGTCTAAGCCCTTCTGAATGGTTGGTAGTTGGTTACCCCGATTGTACCTCTACCTCCCCTCCCCCTCCACGTGACGACCCAGGACACATGCGCACCCGACGCAGTCCAGGCACATCTGCAGACTGACGTCAGTGTGCTCTGCCTCCGAGGAAAAGCTGCCAAAATTTTCTCCTGCTGCAATTCAAGTTGGCTGGGGGCCGGTAGTGAGATCTAGGGCTACTTCAACAAAACTTTGCTGCCCTTCCTGCTCCTCTTGTCTTCTTTTCTCCTGATACCTTTTGATGCTCTGCACATGTTATTTGCATAGCAAAGGCACTAAGCTGTCCAGGAAGAGAGGGCACCACTTCCACCCCCAATAAGTCTTTTTTCCCGTCTTTTCTTTCTTTTTTCCTTTCCTTTTTTGGGGGGGTGGGGAGGGAGAGAAAGGGGTTTGCAAAGGCAGCATCTCTGAGTGATAGCTTGGATGTATTGAAGGCATCTCTTATTCTGCCAAATCGGAAAGCCCGTTCTCTACAGCCCGGGTTAGCTAGACTATAGGGTTTTATTCTGGCTGCAGAGTAACTGGCTGGTGTGGCTTTGCAAAGGGGGGCAAAAAATAAAAAAAATAAAATTTAAAAAAGTTAGAGAAGAGAGGGAGTACGTGAGTCGTCCAGTGCAATCTCTATTGTCTGAATCTTACTTTTTATCAGAATTTGAAGATGAAAACGGTAAGGAAGACTTAACAATATTCAATGAAGCTTTTTTTTTTTTTTTTAAACCAACAACTTGTGCTTTGCTTGTCTTCCGAATAACGCTTAGAAAACTTTTTTCTGTGTGTGTGGGGTTTTTTTTTTTTTAAATGGCAATGAGTGAGCTTGACTGAACTCATTTTACAGATAGAAATCTTTTAAACTCCAAACTTGTCGGGGGTTGTAGAATTCTGGGACTTGCAATTATTTTATGATGCAAAAAAAAAAAAGTTTATTTAATGAATATACGTGTTTTGTAAAGTGGACTTGATTATTATTATTGTAATCTTTTAACTGATCACCAAATAGTAATCTGGAAAGTAATAATGATGTGTCTGTTTTAAATTGATTTCCAGTTTTCTTAAAGAAAAGTCTTCTGCATTTTGTAGTTTCATGTCAGTGTGGTAAGTCTTCAGACAAGTGCATATTTTATGCCTGGGCTCAGAGGGTAGCATTAATGTGCTAGCTGTAGCCCCGATGCTCTAGGATATGTTAAGCTCTTAATAGGCTAATCAAAGAGATGGAAGCGTGTGTTTTTGATTTACTTTTGGCCA